ACACTTACTGTAATTTTCAACCTTTCAAATGGATATTACAAATATACATAATAGGTATATCCAAATTTTGAATTTTTACATGTAATTAAAAAAATTTATAATTGAATATATTTCCATTATATATATTAATATATTGTATATGGTGTCTGAGTAAATGCTGCATTATGATATCTGATATTTTATTAACAAAACATAAAAGAAGATTTTATTTAAATCAAACTTTAGGAAATAAATAACTTTGTAAAAAAAATATTTATATCTTTATATTATAAAATTTTATTTGATTCAAATACAATTGTCTGTAAATTGTACATTTACATATCATTTTATGAAATTTTTTCTTTTTATTTCATAATTATAATTGTAATATTGAATTAAAATGCATTGATCTTTCAATAAAAATTTTGTTGAAAATAATCGTAAAATATGTGTTTTGATAAATTTTTTTTTCTGAATTGTTAAATTTATTTATTTATAAAAAATATAAAATTGTAAAATTTTATATATTTCATAAAATTTTGATATTTTATCATTTTGTACCAAATCTTTTCATCAATTTGATTGATTCTTGACACTAAAACTAAAACTTAAATGCAAATAGAATCTAAACCTTTTTGTTGTTAAATTACTAAATGAAAGAATACTTTTTTTTCAAACTGCTTCAAATTTCACTTAAAAATGTTTTTTAAAATGCATTTTTCTTATCAAATTTTATTTTTTAATTTGAAATGCTTTTTATGTATAAAATTACAAATTAATGCTCTTTTAAAAAAAACATAATCAATAGAAAAATATATTTTTTTATATTTTAAATATTTTAAATACAGAAAAAAATTTTATATGGGTCAATTCAAAAATTTATGTATATTTAAAAAAAAAAAAATAAAATTAATTTTTTTTTCTTTAAAAAAATTCAATGCAAATATTGAATATATAAATTTATAATTTACTAAAAAATTTTAATTTAATAGTGACATTCTTAAAAATAGAAAAAGAATAAAATTCCATTCAAAGATTATTTTTCAGAAAAGATTTGCAAAAACTTTCTTTTAAATCAGTTCATTTTAAAATGTTATTTAGGAATTTTATTTCATCTGTCAGTAAGAAAATATATATTTTAAATTTATATGAGACGAGGAAGAATTAATTGATCTTGTATATTTTCCAAGATCCAAGATGGTAGAACAGGAATCCATACTTCTACAAGGTCAATCACTGGATCACAATCACGGACATTTGCTTCCTTTTGAAATAAAACATATGTAGTCTGGTCTGAATTAATTGTAAATATCAATACAAACTAATAAAAATTTAAAGAAAATTTATATATATATATATATATATATATATATATATATATTTGTGTATATGTCCTTTTTGCAGATTCATCTACACCTTTCTGACCATGTTCAATTAGATTTCATTTAAATATTAATGGAGACCTACTGGACACTTTTCGTAACATGCTTGTTGACAACATTAATATAATAGCATCACCTACATGCAATAAAAAAGGCTAAAAATAATGGAATAATTATTTAACGGTTAAAATATTTAATCCTTGAAAATGGCTAAATGTATAGCCGAAAGCACTCAGATAAAAAGAATATTCAGACAGTTTTTATATAATTTATCATCTGAAAAGAAAAAATTATTAGATCGCATGAGAAATTGTATAAAAACTAAATAAAAGCGCCTTGTCTGTCGTATTCAATGATATATATATATTATGACTGTGAAGAGGACAATTTTCTTGCATAGAAATGGATTTAATTGGCAATGGCATCAAAGCATACACAATTTAAAAATTTTAATCAATTAATAAGTGAAATTTTAAAGCTACAATGTCAGAAATCAACACAAAAATACTTTAATAACTATATGTGCATTTCTATTTATGGTATCCAAAAGAACATGTCAGAAATGTTAGAAAACTAGGAATATTAAAATTTGATATGTACCCTCTTAATAAGTTTAATACCTGAAGATAATGTTAATCACCATTCCTCTTTTAAAAATGTGTCTTTCCGTCAATTTACCCAATATACACTGGTTCGATTAATACCTGTGTATTTCATTAATACTAATTTGATTAAACACATGAACTGTTTGGTTTAATTTTGTTAAATTTTCTTTATGTAGAAATGTTATGTTTAATTAAAGGACAATCCTGAATTTTTGCATATTACCAGATGATATTTCTTTGCCTAACAGGAAACATTAATTGATTCCAATTTATCCTTTTATATTTGCTTTTTATATATTAATATATTTATATGCTTTATATGAATTCTTAAGTTTCATGAAACATGCAAACGAAAAAATTAAAATGTTATGAAATTCTTTTTAGGGTTGTGATTTAAAATTGTTTGTTAAAAAATGATTTAAATAAAAAATTTATATCATTCTTAAATTTGAAACACGAAAAATTAAAAAATAAAAATTAGGGATAACTCTTTTTTTGTCAAATCAGATAATATCAAATACCTCTATTTTACCATATAACATATTTAAAGTAATGCCTTATGGAATAAACTTAGCAATCACAATGTTACTAAATAATAGGTTATAATATAGGTCTAATATATCTAATACATTTGGAACCTAGCCTTATACTTACAAAGGTGAAATTACATATACACACACATCATAAATTGATTGAGTACGATAATATGGAATTATGTGCATACATATATAAAAAATGCTATTAATGATGGGTTCTATGAATATTAATAGGTCTTACATATTCTATTAATATTTGAAAAATCTATTTTGAAATCTATTTTAATCAGGATCAGTGTGCTTGAGCAGGTGTTTGGTTTTATGGATACATGTAGCAATCAACTCACTTCTTGTGTTCAGCAAATTAGGGTTATTTAAGTGTTTTAATATAATAAGTTTCTCTAATAAACACAAGTTACATCTGTCTCCTTTTCCATAGTCTGATTTAGCTTTTGCAATTATCTCCCAGCTAATGGTTGGTTTCTTATAGTTTTCTTTTAATCACCATACATACTTTGAGAGTGTTGTGCAGTTTTTGTATTTAATATTGTTCAGTGTCATTTTGTGATGGCAAAAATGAAATTTCCAGCTGTTCTAAGAGGATCAAAAGTAATATTTAACATCATCAGTTGAATTGATCCTAGCCCTGTATATTATGGCCATTTAGTGAGCAGGTTACATTTTTAATGGTTCAAACCACCTTACAATAGCAACATCGAAACTAATGTAGGTAGAATTGTTTTTATATAAAAGAATGAATTCATTTTTAATCTGACATTTTTATTATTGAAAGTTAATGAATCATTGGTCAATCCTTCAAACAAATGGTTATTGTAAAGCTTGTAACTCATTTATCTTCAAACTAAAAAAACTAAAATGAATAAAAATACATTTATTGGAGCAGATGAAAAAGACTTTCTGGACAGTTGGAATGGTCCTCCTGCATTTCCTCTTCTAATAGTGATTTGCAGTGTGAATTTGTTTATAAGCAACTGTTGTAGCCAATATTCCTGGAATACTCCATATCCTATCATCAAAGTCTCATGTAAAGACATGTTGATGTCACTTGTTCATCCAACAAAGGCCATAAAAAAATAATAATTTCTGCCTTTGGTTGAAACCTTTTAGTTGATTACAACACTGGACAGAAATGTAATATCAATGACTTGGTCAATGTAAAAGTTGGAGTAATAGTATACTACAATTCATTTGCCTTGGTGCCCATGACAAGTGGTTCTTCATCACAAATACTAGAGTTATTGGAATACTTTCTTCTTTTATTCCTTTAAGGGTGGAGATGAAGTTCTATTAAAAGTTATATCACAATTGTATGGATGCAGAGATATGAAACCAAATGATTATTAAAGAGACATTACTCTACAAGGTCCAATTTTTATTTTTTTATGTTGTATTTCTTTAGTATTTAATCCACTAAAGTTTTCAACTTAGAAATCTTTTGTGAAAGACAACTTCAAAACCTATCTTAAGCCCACCAAATTGATGAGCATCTTCTTTTTTTCTTTAAGATGGAGCTATGTTGATATACGAAGAGAGGCACAACTTGAAATGTAACAAGTTCTAAAAACACCACTATGAAATTGTCAGCTTTGAAAATACAGAAAAAGAAGCAGCCATCATTAAAATAGTAATGTAATTTAAAGAGACATGAAATAAAAACTAATCAATACATACAAGAAATGTATCTTTATAAAATGAAAGGATTAAATTTTGTTTTTATGCTAATTTTATTAATATAGTAATTTATATTATTTAATAAATTTTAAAATATTTTGAGAAATTCAGGCTTATAGTGCATTTATTTTATATTTTTACAAATAAAAATGTTCAGAGTTTTACAAGCAAAAATGTTTTGTAGTTTCAAATATACATTATAGAAATGTGTCTGCAAATGTTTTTTACAAATCAAATATTTTAATAAACAAACTACAATGCAAAAGAAATCTGTTTCCGTCCATGTCTAGAATAACATTTTCTTCTCTTCAGAAATCAAAATGTTAGATTTCTTGGCTGCAACCTTTGAAGTAAATTCATAATCATTGACTATTTCATTTGTTGATATTTTTAACATGGATGAAACCAAGTCTGACAAGAGACCATATTTATAGATTATGATATGCAAAACTCGTGTTCTTTACAGTGTACTATTTAAGCAATCAGAGTATAATTTGAATCAACCAAATAAGTAAGACAAGGATGTCTAAAATGAAAATTAAAAGAAAAAAGACAACTTGGAATAGTATCAGAAAAACAGGCAAACATGTTTTAACAAACAAGAAGATTAAAAAAACTGACAAAACAGATTTTAAAATTCTTTCTACAATCAAATTCTAAATAATATACTTCCAACTACTTATAACCTGATGGTGCTTACAACAGTAAAGATCACAATTGAATATAATAAGGTATTAAAAATATTTCTAAATTGTAAAAAGAGACCCAGCAGAAGCGAGAAAGTATGAAAAGAAAAAATGCAAAACTCACAAAATTGTTTTGCGAATGATAGGCAACCACACATCCCAAATAAGTCGTTGATAGACATCCATGTTGTTGATGTTGTACATATAATGATGGTTGTTGTCTTCTAATAATTCTCGCCATTCTTTCATTGCTTTTATTCCTTTTGATGAATCTTGCAATGGTTCCCATTCCTCATAGAATTTCTTCACCTACAAAATAAATGAAATGATAAAAAGAAAGCAGCATATAAAAAGGAAATATCAATACTGATTATTGAAACACTATTCAGATTATTGTCCTCATCTTTGTCACTATGTTTATCACAACATTTCTTCAGGTGGTTGGAATGTCAAACTGAACCCTTTATTTTGCTCACTGTGCCATGTGTCTTTGAGGACACATGGCACAGTGGAGAAAGGTGTTAGTTAGATCCAGTGACAGGACCCAAACAGTGTGAGTTCAATACCTGGTTAAGGCAGTGAAGAACTTTGAGAGGGGAATTAACAGGCGATAACTGACATCCATCCATAAAGGGTTCAGTTTGACATTCCAACCACCTGAAGAAGGCGTACAACGGCTGAAACGTTGTGATAAACATGGCGACAAAGATGAGGACAATAGTCTGAATAATGTAAATAGTGTACATAATACCTCATCTCATAAATATAGACAGATACTGATTACTGGAAATAGTATATGAGTATCCCTTTTGACATATAAACCAAGGCAATGAAAAAGTAAATATTCAATATTAAGTGATAAAAAAGTTCAAATGTAAATAGAGCCAAGGGTTAATATGCTTTTCTGATACATTTTGTAATACAAGAGTCCATGTGAAACAACATTATTTATTATCATGAGCAAATAGAGATAAGAAATATTTTGTGTTGTACAAACCTTTCAAATTTGTATAAGTCAACAAAAGAAAAAAGAAAGAAACCTTCAGTATATGATGTAGAAGTTGTTCTTTAATATAAGACAAAATATTATTTTCCCTATAGAACTTAAGAAGGAATAAAAGAGGTTAGAAATGGGCAGATAATAAGTTAGAACAGAACAAAGTGCTGCATTTGATAGAATATAAAAACCCCTATTTACAATTAATATTACAGTATTACAGAATCAGGTTAGGTACAAGTATTGATAGTCAATGGTATCTGGGTTAACATTAATCTAACAGATACCTCAATTTTGAGTGTAAGACCTGAGATGTATTATTTAGATTTTTTTTTAGTTATTTTAGAGGGAAAAAAAGTTAGGCACTTTTATACAACATCAAATATTCTAAATAAAAGAGACAATTGAAAAATTCTTAAATAAATCTTCCAATAACTACTGTCTCCTTCCTACATTAGGTTATTTCATATATTGTTGTTTTTTTTTTTCCATGGATGTGATGGTAGGGTTTGCATTGAGAGAGATTATAATAGTCCATACTCTTTCACCACCTTTTCCCTTAATCTTCCTAGGAACAGATATTAACCAAAACATGGAGTATAAAATAAGAGAGAGAAACGATAGAAATCTCTAGTTTTATTTTCTTAAATACAGTGCATGCAAATCCAAGCTTCTCTATCATAATCTGGTAGATAGTGCCAAGGGTGGAGAAAGGGATATAATTAATTCTCTAACTGGGAAGATCTTTACATCCTTGTCTTAATAGTTGTAGCTATGTTTATATCCACCTTTGCTCAAATACAATGATTGAACTCCCAAAAGCAGTGCACCATAAAATTATATGCAATACATTACATCACAGTAATTTTTGCTAATCACTTTACACGTGACACTTATATGCTCTGGAATTATGTTTTATTCATTGTGAATATTTGCAGTTTTCTTTTTCAGAAATCTTGTCTTTTGTAAAATTAATTTGTGATGTATTCATGAAAATAAAAGATTTTATAAATACTTGTGCTTATTTCTCCTTAGCTAAAATTTATTGAAATTAAATGTGATTTAGCCCAATTAAGTATTTTTATAAGAACTGATGATAATTTTAAGATCTTTGAAAAAGTTATTAATCATGGAGGAAGAGGATCAAAGATATCTGAGCAAGTAAAATCAGGCAGAGATAATATACAAGTTTGAACAAAGTCATCAGTATCTGTAGATAATAATGCACTGATAATAGGTAAAGCTATTGAAACTACAACTTTGAGGAAAACCTTTTTCAGTCCAACATCTAAAATTTTACTGTATTATGCCCCATAAGTCAGTGCATGAAAAAAGTAAATTTGTAATAAGTTACCAGTTACCAGTTGAATTAATAAAAATGAATGAATCAAACAGATGTGAATTCAGAGAATATTATAAAATTTGCAATATGGAGATCATGTCCTTCATTGTAATGTGTGCTAGGTTTCTAGATAGTTCTGAGTAGATTTTATAAATCGAAAAATAACATTTATAATTTTCTAGGTGAGAGAAATAATCTGCCTAAGGAAAGACCAATTCTTTTATGATAACAATTGACTATTTGATTTTCTATTTTAATTGATATTACCAGCCGTTTCAAAGTCTAGAGACTTCTTATCTTAGCATATAATATAAATGTATTCAAAAATAAAATGAAGCTGCTTACTTTTCATAAAATGAAGTTTTGGGCAAATGTTTGCACTAAGGATTCAAAATATTGAATATAATTGTAATCTTACAAGATATATTAAAAAAAAATGTTATTGCAAGAGTTATTTGAAAAATATTTTCAAATTTTTGCTGAAAACTGCATAATTGCATTTATAAATTCATTTTCAATTTATTATTGAAAATGAAATTTGATGAATTTCCCTTCATTTGAAATGCCCCTTTACAATTTAGATTAATAATTATTAATTTCTGGATATAATTATGTTATGAATCTTTTCCAGAAGTCAGAAAATTTGTTCAGAATTATATATGCTGTTTTGGAATATGATACAGATGAGAAGAAACATTTACAGCTATGATGACATTTAATTCAAAACAAAATGAGATCTCAATTGACTAATCAAAATTTAAATAATTCTCTACTGCTCTCTGATGCTAAATATATTAATATAAATAAAAAAAAAAGTAATGCATGACTGTGAAAGGCTGGCCACACCCGATTGAAAGCAATAAATCATTAAAACCCCAAAGAAATCCTACCTACTATTAGTCCTAACTTGTGACAGTGCCACTTGTGTCAAAAAAATCACAAATCTAACATTGAAAATCTTTACCCTATTGTTTTTCAATATTATAAATATTTCCATATTTCTAGCACTAACCTAATTTTTTTTTTGGTGATGATGAGGGATGACAATTTTTCTATTTTATGAGTTCTTTGCTTTTTTATCTTGCTTCCTCTCTTTTTTTTCTAAAGAGATATTTTTGGGTGTGGACCTGTGACAGATGAATCCATTCATCACTTTGGAACATCAGATAGCTGAAGAAGGTAGAGAGCCTATGACCTAATCCATAAATTAACTACACAGTGTAAATACAAACAGTTACTATTAATTGGCTTGTAAAATCGGATCAGAGTGTATTTTTTTTTATCTTGATATTTCTATTTTTAGAAATAAATATGTCCAGATAGTTTAGATGCATGATTTATGTAAGTATCTTTTACTCATTTTAAATGTTCCAAAGAAAAAGAAAAAGTTACAAGTCAAAAATTTCCTCCTCCTTACCAAAGGAAACACTAAAGCAATGGCTAATGCTCCCATGTCATACATCTTATATTCTTCATAATAATCATTCTGGAGTTTCTGGAACAGAGTTACACATTCTACCAATGTTAGTGGATCTTCACAATCTGGTTTGGTACGTTTTTCACAGCTGCAAAACAAAAAAGAAGAAAAGTTGCAGCTACTCAATGACAAAAGATTTATTGAATTATTTCTGTTTGAAATGGCACAATAAAAAATATTCTAACAGATTGAAAGTAATTGTTGGATTTAGAACTGGTTATCAGAAATTAAAAATAATGTCTGTCACCAACAAGAATTATTATTTGGAAATTTATCAAGTGATACAACAAAGAATAAGAGTAGAATTCAATTATCTAGAATTTTCTGTTCACTGCTACACACACATACACACACATATATACACGCCTGTGTGTGTGTGTATACAATATATATGGTAATAAATAGTAGGGTTTTTACTGGATTAAATATTTTTATATGTTTATGTTAAATAAATGGTGGCGTAATGGATAGCGGCTTGGATTGAGGAATTGGAGAGCCGAGTTTGAATTCCAGTCGAATCCATTACATTCACTTATGTGCTAATACCCTTGGGAAAGGTATGATTTCTCTTCTTTTCCCCCCAGCTATGAGTAAATAGCAGGACAGATCGGATTCTATAGCCTTGGATGGCAATTGGTCTACTGCAGAAAGAAATGGCAACCTAATGTCGGAAAAAAAATCTGCCTCATCAGTCATGTATTGAACCTCGTCAGTCATGTATCGAAAGATACATGATCACCTAAGCATGTATCATGCATGGCACATAACTAATTGATGATAAATTTGTAATCTGTTGGGGAAAATTACATGCTTTTTCAAATTGTCCTTGAGTACACATCATTTCTCTTATAAATGTGCCCATTTTTAGTTTAGCCTTTTCTTTTTCCTTACTTCTTTCTTTCTTTTTCTCCCAACCATTTTTCCTTGTCTTTTTCTTCCTCTCTCTCTCTCTCATTTTCTCTTTTCCTGTATACATAAGGTTAGTAAATGCAAACCAGACAACAAATTTTCATATATTTATCAGCATTGAAAACTGGTTAGGCTTTAAATTTGGATCGTATAATCATTTATTGTGTCTAATGTCACCACAAATGTATCCACACTTTTCTGGTGTCTGATTTTTTAAGTTAGATAAATGAATCGGTAGTCAATTTATGTAACTGATAATAACAACTCATACTTATCTGTATCTCATTCATTTAAATTGTTATTAAACTTCTCTCTTTTAAATTTTATTCCCCACCCTCACCTTAAGACCTTTCCTGTTCTTCTTCTTCCATTACTCCTCTCTCTAGAGCTTTCATACATTTCCCTCTCATCCTTGTTTCTCACTCCCACACATACACTTTTGCTTAAATTTTTTTTAAACCCAGAGATATAACTTCTGTTTTCTTTTTGAATTTGTAGATCTGATTAATTGGATCATGATTATGATTTCAATGCAATAAATTATAACCATGGAATATTAGTGTTTGAGCCTTATATATATATATATATATATATATATATATATATATATATAAATTCAAACTCATCAAGGTAGCCAGCTATGGGATTTATGACTATTATAAATAAATTATAGCAATTTAGTTCAATATGTAATGAGTTCATATCTGCTGACTATTTCTGTAAGTATTTGCATATCTGTGGATGTTTCTATATACAACATTGAAATAATCAAATAGGAAATACAGTTTGTAGGTGATCTGCTATTAAATTTACTTTGAAAATCAGTATAAGAAAGTAACCATCATCAACATAAATAAAAACAAAACAAAGTAATTTTTTAGATTTTATGATTTCCTTATTCATATGAATCTGGCAACGAAACACATAATCCAAAAAATACACGTATAAACAAATCAAAGGTAAAAAAATAATGCATGAGAAAAAGAGATAAACTTAAATTGACAATTAAAATTTTAACCATGAGACAACAAATATAAGACAACTCACCTTTCTACGATGTCTAAAATTTCTTGAAGTCGATTGCACTGTTTCTCTTCTTGTGTGCAAATAGCATCTAAACGTTCCTTTTCATGTCTCATGTTTATAATCTGATCACTGTTGTGACGATGCCTTTTAAGAAGAAATATTTTTTACAAAGTGAAAAAGAATATAAAAGGTTACATAGAATTTATTTACAAATCATATTTGCATGAATCAAATCATAAAATTTGATTAAAAAGCTTCAAATTAGTTTTTTTGCTATTATCAGTATTTTGTATCTTTGAAATATGAATAGTTAAAGTAATAGCAATAAAAATGTATCATTGCCATTTCTATGAGGTAACACTTAGTTTATCCCTTATTAATACTATTATGTTGCCTGTTTACAGAAATACATTTTATTTAGTATGTTGTATTTTGTTAAGAAGCTTCAGGAACATTAAAAAATATAAACAAATCTATCATTCTAATATGATTTGATCCTTGTTTAAGAACACAATGTTGATAAATTTTAAACATTCCCTTATATATAAGCCAAAAAACAAGATTTACTCATTCACTTCCACCATGAAAGGTTTCTAAAAGAGGCTAAAATGAATCTTAAATCGGTTTGATTTGTATTCATTCCTGTAGCAAATCATGTCACAAATAATAATGTTGAATTTCTGAAAATAATTTTAGTTCAAAGAAATGTTATGCAGAGTTTAAAGAACTATTATCATTATAAATTTTTAAATCCATTTTGGTAGATTTAATGATTTATTCATTGATACAATTTGTATATTGATAAGTAAACACTTGTAGAAATTCATACAAGATTAAAGCAAATTGGTTTTATTTTACTGAACATTAAATATATAACAATTAAAAATATAAACTTTACATAATTAATATTCAGTCTGCTTTAAGGTGAAATATCTTTCTTAAAGGGAGATATGTTTATAATGATTCATTTTAATTAAATGCTAGCTCTGTATTTGATATATGAACATGAAGCTATGGAAATTATTGAACAAACATTAAATTTTTTTTGGGGGGGGGGAATTGTACATTAATATAAAAGTGAAAATCCACTTCATAAGATGATGATGATAAGCCACAGTAGCATACACTTACCAAAAAAAAAAAAAAAAAAAAAGAGAGACAGGTATTTTTTCCCCTACTGTTGAAATTACTTTTTAATTATTTTATTATTCTTAAATTTCCACATAAAAATGTTAATCCTTAAGTATTAAATTTTAGTCATTTTGTCATTATGTCTAAAACCTTAGAATTTTTGCAGAAATAATAAAGAAGCTTTTCCCACAATTTAATTAAAGTTAGAAAATTTAAATGTTTATTCAATTTTTAAGAATTCATTTCTTGAGCCGAAAGAAAGGAAAAAAATTAGACATATGCAAAATAAAAATACTTTTTTTTCTTTTCTGCTCACAATAAAATAAGTTTAATAAATACTTACTTTCGATCATTTTGGATGATTTCAACTTCCGCCATATCAACTAGAATGTTTAGGTTGTGAATTAATTCTGGAACATCAAATGCTGTTCTTTGTTTTGGAGTTGATTCAATAACATCTTCATCTTCATCTGGTTTATCATGTCGTTGAGAAATAGCGTGGTATCCTTAATAATAAAATTTGTACTTCCTGTTAATCTATTGTCAAATGTAATTCTTTTAGAGGAAGAAAAATAGAAATAATCAATGTACAGATATATAAATCAAGTATTATGTAAGTAAAATAGTCTGCACAGTGGTTTGAAAGGTGATGAAAAATTTATCTCCATAGTTCAACATTATACAAGGAATATACTATAGATGTAAATTGCTTCATTAAAACATGTTTTAAATTATCTGAATTCTTCAATGACTAGTTTTCTTTGTTTAATGTTGCATTTTATCATACATCAGTATAGCCTTAGAACATTAAAGAAATCTGAAATAATGATGTAACAAGACAAGAATTCCATTATTTTGGGAGATGCAAAATGTTATAATGTCCTTTTGTAACTTTAAGTGCATTTCAGAATTTCAACATTATGCATCTTCAATAGTTCACATTCCAAATGCCGCATCATAAATGTTATGCATCTTCAATAGTTCACATTCCAAATGCCGCATCATAAATGTTATGCATCTTCAACAGTTCACATTCCAAATGCCGCATCATAAATGTTATGCATCTTCAATAGTTCACATTCCCAATCCTGCATCAGAAATGTGATGCATCTTCAATAGTTCACATTCCCAATCCTGCATCATAAATGTTATGCATCTTCAATAGTTCACATTCCAAATGCCGCATCATGTTATGCATCTTCAATAATTCACATTCCAAACGCTGCATCATAAATGTGATGCATCTTCAATAGTTCACATTCCCAATCCTGCATCATAAATGTTATGCCTCTTCAATAGTTCACATTCCAAAAGCCGCATCATAAATGTTATGCATCTTCAACAGTTCACATTCCAAATGCCGCATCATAAATGTTATGCATGTTCACATTCCCAATCCTGCATCATAAATGTGATGCATCTTCAATCACATTCCCAATCCTGCATCATAAATGTTATGCATCTTCAATAGTTCACATTCCAAACGCTGCATCATTGTTATGCAATCCTGCATCATAAATGTTCTTCAATAGTTCACATTCCCAATCCTGCATCATAAATGTTATGCATCTTCAATAGTTCAAAATCCTGCATCATAAATGCATCTTCAATAGTTCACATTCCAAATGCCGCATCATGTTATGCAAATTCCAAACGCTGCATCATAAATGTGATGCATCTTCAATAGTTCACATTCCCAATCCTGCATCATAAATGTTATGCATCTTCAATAGTTCACATTCCCAATCCTGCATCATAAATGTTATGCATCTTCAATAGTTCACATTCCCAATCCTGCATCATAAATGTGATGCATCTTCAATAGTTCACATTCCAAATCCTGCATCATAAATGTGATGCATCTTCAATAGTTCACATTCCCAATCCTGCATCATAAATGTGATGCATCTTCAATAGTTCACATTCCAAATCCTGCATCATAAATGTTATGCATCTTCAATAGTTCACATTCCCAATCCTGCATCATGTTATGCATCTTCAATAGTTCACATTCCAAATGCCGCATCATGTTATGCATCTTCAATAATTCACATTCCAAATCCTGCGTCATAAATGTTATGCATCTTCAATAGTTCACATTCCCAATCCTGCATCATAAATGTTATGCATCTTCAATCACATTCCCAATCCTGCATCATAAATGTGATGCATCTTCAATAGTTCACATCAAATCCTGCATCATCATAATGTTATGCATCTTCAATAGTTCACATTCCCAATCCTGCATCATAAATGTTATGCATCTTCAATTTCACATTCCCAATCCTGCATCATAAATGTTATGCATCTTCAATAGTTCAAAATCCTGCATCATGTTATGCATCTTCAATAGTTCACATTCCAAATTCACATTTCAATAATCATTTCAAACGCTGCGTCATAAATGTTATGCATCTTCAATAGTTCACATTCCCAATCCTGCATCATAAATGTTATGCATCTTCAATAGTTCACATTCCCAATCCTGCATCATAAATGTGATGCATCTTCAATAGTTCACATTCCAAATCCTGCATCATAAATGTTATGCATCTTCAATAGTTCACATTCCCAATCCTGCATCATAAATGTTATGCATCATAAATGTTCCCAATCCTGCATCATAAATGTAAATAGTTCACATTCCCAATCCTGCATCATAAATGTTATGCATCTTCAATAGTTCACATTCCAAATGCCGCATCATGTTATGCATCTTCAATAAATCATTCCAAACGCTGCATCATAAATGTGATGCATCTTCAATACATTCCCAATCCTGCATCATAAATGTTATGCATCTTCAATAGTTCACATTCAAATGCCGCATCATGTTATGCATCTTCAATAATTCACATTCCAAACGCTGCATCATAAATGTTATGCATCTTCAATAGTTCACATTCCCAATCCTTCAATAGTTCATCAATCCTGCATCAAAATGTTATGCATCTTCAATAGTTCACATTCCCAATCCTGCATCATAAATGTTATGCATCTTCAATAGTTCACATTCCCAATCCTGCATCATAAATGTTATCTTCAATAGTTCATTCCCAATTCAAAATGTTATGCATCTTCAATAGTTCACATTCCCAATCCTGCATCATAAATGTTATGCATCTTCAATCACATTCCAAATGCCGCATCATGTTATGCATCTTCAATAATTCACATTCCAAACGCTGCATCATAAATGTGATGCATCTTCAATAGTTCACATTCCCAATCCTGCATCATAAATGTTATGCATCTTCAATAGTTCACATTCCCAATCCTGCATCATAAATGTTATGCATCTTCAATAGTTCACATTCCCAATCCTGCATCATAAATGTGATGCATCTTCAATAGTTCACATTCCAAATCCTGCATCATAAATGTGATGCATCTTCAATAGTTCACATTCCCAATCCTGCATCATAAATTCATCTTCAATAGTTCACATTCCAAATCCTGCATCATAAATGTTATGCATCTTCAATAGTTCATTCCCAATCCTGCATCAAAATGTCCTTCACATTCAATCCTGCATCATAAATGTGATGCATCTTCAATAGTTCACATTCCAAATCCTGCATCTGTTATGCATCTTCATAGTTCACATTCCAATCCTGCATCATAAATGTTATGCATCTTCAATTCACATTCCAAATCCTGCATCATAAATGTTATGCATCTTCAATAGTTCACATTCCCAATCCTGCATCATAAATGTTATGCATCTTCATCATAAATGTTCACATTCCAAATGCTTCATGTTATGCATCTTCAATAATTCATTCCAAACGCTGCATCATAAATGTGATGCATCTTCAATAGTTCACATCTTCAATGTTATGTTCTTCAATAGTTCATTCCCAATCCTGCATCATAAATGTTGCATCTTCAATGCATCTTCAATAAATGTTATGCATCTTCAATAGTTCCCAATCCTGCATCATTCCCAATCCTGCAAATGTTATGCATGCATCTTCAATAGTTCACATTCCCAATCCTGCATCATAAATGTTATGCATCTTCAATAGTTCACATTCCCAATCCTGCATCATAAATGTGATGCAAATGTTCACATTCCCAATCCTGCATCATAAATGTTATGCATTTCAATAGTTCACATTCCCAATCCTGCATCATAAATGTGATGCATCTTCAATAATTCACATTCCCAATCCTGCATCATAAATGTTATGCATCTTCAATAGTTCACATTCCAAATTCATCATATGCATTTCAATAATTCCCAATTCCAAACGCTGCATCATAAATGTGATGCATCTTCAATAGTTCACATTCCCAATCCTGCATCATAAATGTTATGCATCTTCAATAGTTCACATTCCCAATCCTGCATCATAAATGTTATGCATCTTCAATAGTTCACATTCTCCTGCATCATAAATGTGATGCATCTTCAATAGTTCACATTCCAAATCCTGCATCATAAATGTTGCATCTTCAATAGTTCACATTCCCAATCCTGCATCATAAATGTGATGCATCTTCAATAGTTCACATTCCAAATCCTGCATCATAAATGTTATGCATCTTCAATAGTTCATCATTCCCAATCCTGCATCATGTTATGCATCTTCAATAGTTCACATTCCAAATGCCGCATCATGTTATGCATCTTCAATAATTCACATTCCAAACGCTGCATCATAAATGTTATGCATCTTCAATAGTTCACATTCCCAATCCTGCATCATAAATGTTATGCATCTTCAATTCAGTTCCTGCATCATTCATCTTCAAAATCACTTCCAAATCCTGCATCATAAATGTTATGCATCTTCAATAGTTCACATTCCCTGCATCCTGCATCATAAAATGTTATGCATCTTCATTCCCAATCCTGCATCATAAATGTTATGCATCTTCAATTTCACATTCCCAATCCTGCATCATAAAATGTTATGCATCTTCAATAGTTCACATTCCAAATGCATCATCAATGTTATGCATCTTCAATAATTCCACATTCCAAACCTGCATCATAAATGTGATGCATCTTCAATAGTTCACATTCCCAATCCTGCATCAGAAATGTTATGCATCTTCAATAGTTCACATTCCCAATCCTGCATCATAAATGTGATGCATCTTCAATAACATTCCCAAATCCTGCATCATAAATATTATGCATCTTAGTTCACATTCCAGTTCATCCCAATCCTGCATCATAAATGTGATGCATCTTCAATAGTTCACATTCCCAATCCTGCATCATAAATGTGATGCATCTTCAATAGTTCACATTCCCAATCCTGCATCATAAATGTTATGCATCTTCAATAGTTCAAATCCTGCATCATAAATGTGATGCATCTTCAATAGTTCACATTCCCAATCCTGCATCATAAATGTGATGCATCTTCAATAGTTCACATTCCAAATCCTGCATCATAAATGTTATGCATCTTCAATAGTTCACATTCCCAATCCTGCATCATGTTATGCATCTTCAATAGTTTACATTCCAAATGCCGCATCATGTTATGCA